TGGAACCTAAGTTGGCCCTGCTGGAACGGTCTGGGCCGGAACCTCATCATCAAACTCCACCTGAGGATCCACCGCTGGTGCTGCTGCTCTGGGCTGATCCCTGCCCCTGCCTCGACCCCTAGCACGGCCTCGGCCTCGTCCTCTGCCCCTTGTAGGAGCTGCCACTAGGGGCTCGGGCTGCTGATCAGCTGATGAAGCAGTACGTGTTCTCGCCATCTGCGAAAGAACAAAGTAGAGAGTTCAATTAGCATTGAGAGATCAAATCGCACGACAGAGATGAATAGAAGTGAATCTGTTCATAACTTATAGCCTCTGAGGGATAAGCACAGACGTCTCCGTACCGATCCCTCAGAGTCTACCAAGCTTGTTCATGAATTGTTAGACCTAAGAAACCTAGTGCTCTGATACCAACTTGTCGCGACCCAAATTTTCCACCTTCGGGACCGCGATGGCGCCTAACATTGCACTCGCTAGGCAAGCCAACGTTACAAAATATTTCACCTTTTTCCTTTATGCTTTTATAATTTAAGTTAACGAAACTAAATCAGCGGAAATAAAAGCGAAAGTACATGATTTAACTAATTACCCTTATACAATTAGCGAAAACAGAAGTAGATACCACCCGGAAACTGGTGTTACAACTCACGAACAATCTACGAATACTACAAGTATGGTTTGAAAGAAAATACATCTGTCTCTAAGAAAGTAAAACAAAAATGAAGTAAAGATAGGAGGGGACGCCAGGGCCTGCGGACGCCTGCGGGACTACCTTAGGTCTCCTAAATGCAGTAACAGCGACCAACCTCTCGATCAACCACTAGCTCCGAAATCTGCACAGAAAGTGCAGAGTGCAGCATCAGTACAACCGACCCCATGTACTGGTAAGTGCCGAGCCTAACCTCGAAAAAGTAATGAGGAGGCTACGGCGGGGCAAAAAAATATATAACCTGCAACAGTTTATACTAAAACAGAAAGGAAATACAGAATGAAATACAACAGTAACTTGTATTAAATAAATACGGAACCCAGTCGTTCTACCAATACTCAGCTATAACCAATTCTTATGAGAGTTTCAACACCACAATAATGAACCTCGACAGAAATGAATACATAAACAACAATTGATGCGGCGCGCATCCCGATCCCACCATATAATCAATAACAATATACATATTTACCCTTATTACTCCCTGTTGCGGCGTGCAACCCGATCCCACCAATCCACCCTTATTACTCCTCAATATATCACCCTTATTCCTCCTGTTACGGCGTGCAACTCGATCCCACCAGACAATCACAATTCACCATTATTCTTCCTGTTGCGCCGTGCAACCCGATCCCAATATATATATCAGCACCAATCACAAAATAAAGACAAGTGTTTCACAAGTTAACTCAAATCCTCAACAACACTTATACCTCAAACCAACACAATGGAATTACAATTATGAAACTTCACCAATTAAAACTACACAGCGAGACCAACCAAAGTGCACCATGAAGCACCAATAAACTAACATAAGCCAACAGTGTGATATAATGGAACTATGGAACAACAACAACACCAATAGACAACATTTAACAAGAAGCAATTAGGCATGGAAGCATCAATAAGCAAGTAGCAATTAAGACAGGAAAGCAATATATAGGGAAACGGGAAAAGGAAATAGGCTAAACAGGTAATTTGGCGACGCATAAGTGCTCGTCACCACACCTATATGCCACACACATGGTATTTCACATAGCAAGCAAGTAGGGGATCCCTAATCCCTCAAGTCAAGGTTAGACCAAACAGTTACCTCAAGCCAACGGGTAATTCACAGCTCAAATACCCCTTTATCTCTCGATTCCACCACCAATCCACTCGTATCTAGCCATATTTAACTTAAATAACATCAATAAACGCTAAAGAAACCAATTCCAATGTATAATTATAGATTGCCCAACATTTTTCCCAAAAAGTCAAAAATCGACCTCCGGGCCGCGTGGTCAAAACTCGAAATTCGGACCAAAATCCGATTACCCATTCACCCCCGAGCCCGGATATGCAATTGGTTTTGGAATCCGACCTCAAATTGAGGTCCAAATCCCCAAATTCTGAAATTCCTAAGTTCTACCCAAAAACACCCAATTCCACCATGAAAAACCCTAGATTTTATGATGAAATCTTGTAAAAAGATGAAATAGATTGAAAGAAATAAGTTAAGAATCATTTACCTATGATCCGGGGAAGAAATCGTCTTTGGAAAATCGCCTCTTGAAGTTTAGGTTTTGAAAAATGGGAGAATGAATGAAAAATCCCGTCCAAAAATTATTTTGAACAGTCGCAGTTACCGCATTTGCGATCACAGGTTCGCAAATGCGAACTCGCAAATGCGGACATTACTTCGCAAATGCCAAGTTTGGCCTGGTCTGCTGGCATCGCAAATGCGAACAAGTGTTCGCAAATGCGGCCCCTGTTCTCATCGCAATTGCGATGCGGAGCTTCGCAAATGCGAAGGTCCCCTTCCCAGCCTTCTGATCGAAAATGCGAAATAACTTCGCAAATGCGATGCTCGCATTTGCAAGCCAGACTTCGCAAACCTGCAACATACCAGAAAAATTTTTTAAGCCCAAATCACTCCGTAGCCTATCCAAAACTCACCCGAGCCCTCGGGGCTCCAAACCAAACATGCACAAAAGTCTTAAAACATCATAGAACTTGCTCATGCGATCAAATCGCCAAAATAATACCTAGAACTATGAATTCAACACCAAAACACATGAAATTTTCAAGATAGTTTCAAACTTCCTATTTTCTCAACCAAAGGTCCGAATCACGTCAAATCACTTCCGTTTTTCATCAAATTTCACAGATAAGGTTTAAATATTATAACGGACCTGTACCGGAGTCCGGAACCAAAATATGGGCCAGATGCCAATAAGATCAAATCATTTAAATCATTGCATTTTCAGTCTTATCAATTTTTTTCAAAAATTTATTTCTCGGGCTAGGGACCTCGGAATTTGATTCCGGGCATACGCTCGGGTCTCATATTTTACTACGGATCCTCGGGGACCGTCGGAACACGGGTCCAGGTCCGTTTACCGAAAATATTGACCAAAGTCAACAAAAATTATCTTTTTAAGCCAAAAATCATTCTTTCTTAAATTTTTCACATAAAAGCTTTCCGGATACGCGCCCGGACTGCGCACGCAAATCGAGGAGAGATAAATGGAGCTTTTTAAGGCTTCGGAACACGGAATCGGATTATAAAACAAAAGATGACCCTTTGCGTCATCACACAACCTTACTACAGAAACTATCAAATTGAGAAACTAAAGACTGATAATTATGATAATTGTTTGGATGGTGGAGTTTGGTGTAGCAACGAGACAGAATAAAAAAAATAAGGTGGGGGTTAGCAAATGTTTTGCTATAGTCAATGCAATAAGTTTTTGACTATAACTTGCAATCAAATATAATGCGCTAGCGGTTGTCTTAAGTTTGTGGCCAGCGGGCAATTATGTCCGTCTCTCTTTTTTATTGGCATCCATTCAATGTTTATTATTATGCTTGTTTCAGAATATGGTACATGGCTAGTTTGGAACTTGTTATTTAAAGCATGCTATTATGTCAACTATATTAGTGCAGATATACTTAACATATAACGATTATATATTTTGTAAGCCTTTTTTGAGGTCGATTGATGATATTTATCTTTTTTTTTTGGGATTTTTTCCATTCCTATACACTATTAGAAACTTTATTATCCTAAATGTTCATGTTTAGTAAATTACCCTACCTACACAAGTTTTGTTTATAAAATATATATATTCCACCTTAAAAGGCTACCAATCCATTATTAGTGCCTTCAATTAAGGGATTTAGTTACACCCTTTATCTTTTTTTGGGAGTTGTCCTCGAGCTATCTCAGTTTTTTGTGGATGTCCTGTTTCCAAGTTCAACACAATTCTCCCAACATGCTAATATTTCGGCTCAACATTTGTCGTATACCTTTCTGCAGTATTTCAATAAAAAACCTTACGCTTGTGACCCATCAAGCTTGCCTAAGTATCCCCCAAACAAGGAAATTGATGCAAAGTTCCGAGAAGAAGCGCGAAGGTAAATTCTTTTCTTCTTTGTCCTTCACAGAAAGCATTTTCTGCTTGTAGTTCCTCAAATTGACGGCTTGTCATCTGGATGGTACAAATATACTAATGTAGTAAAAGCCAACAAAGTTAATCTGCATGAATTTGTATGCACAAAAAGAAAGATGATTCTTCGCTGTTCCTTCACTGGTTCGAGTACTAGTTCAACATTATAGCTTAAACATATCTTGTATCTGATACAAATTTGTACGGTACAAGTTTTTCCTAAGGAAAAAATATTTCCGTGCAAGTCTTTAAAGATATCCAGTTAAATACAACTACAATAACATACAACTTAAATGCAAATTTTATATAAAATTTAGACAATATGTCTTTTGTATATTTTGTATCTGATTTATACATAGTAAAAATAAATTTCATACAACTAATTATATATTATACAATTTATCTACACCTTATCTACAACACTCACACATTATTTCTACCCAGTTAAATACAACTACAATAACATACAAATTAAATACAAATTTTATATAAATTTTATACAATATGTCTTTTGTATATTTTGTATCTGATTTAGAGCCCGTTTGGATTGGCTTAAAAAAAGTGGCTTTAAGCACAAGTGCTTAAAAGCAGCTTTTAAGTGCTGGAGCTTATTTTATAAATAAGCAGTTACATGTTTGGATAAAAGTGCTGAAGCTTAAAAAAAGTTGTTGAAGTGTTTGGCAAACAAGTGGTGGTAAGCACTTTTTCTTATTAAAAAGACAAAAATATCCTTAAAGCTGTTAGAGACAGCAATGGCTGAGAATGGGTCAACAGATGCGTAGAGAACACTGGCGCCTTTTCTTCCAAACATTCCTTCCTCTTGAGGAACTGAGTAGAAAAGAAGTGCAAAAAAGAATAGGGATTTAGAGCTCGAGGAGGAGTTCTTCTTTCTGACCCGAAAAATATTGAGAGATGTATGGGGTGACCCGAATTACGCCGACCCAAGCTCCGAAAAGGGCGACGTAAGTCTTCAGAGCAGCTGCTTTGTCAGGTTTACGCATGAACAATCCTGGAAACATGGTTTGGTCGTTTGCATGATTTCTCCTTTGAGAGGAGAATGGAGATGAAACTGGGCATGGTTTTACTGATTTCTACTGAATTGCTTGAAGAAAAGTACAGAAAAATGAAGATGAAGAGGAAAGAAGAGGGTAATTTTGGTATTATAAAAACTTATAAGGGTAAGAGAGTAATTTTATTGGTCAAACTCAAATGGCTTTTAAGCCAAAATCAAAAAAGTAGGGGTCAGCCAACTTGTTGCTTTTGGCTTTTTTAAGCACTTTTTAGCTTTTTTTAAGCAGCTTTTTTTGTTGCCAAACACTCCAAAAAATAAAAAAGTGCTTAAAAGCTGGTTTGACCAGCTTTTAAGCCCATCCAAACACAACCTTATACATAGTAAAAACAAATTTCATACAACTAATTATATATTATACAACTTATCTACAACTTATCTATAATTTTCATACATTATTTCTACACAGTTATATATAACTACAATATCATACAACTTAAATATAATTTTTATACAATGTTGTTCAACTTTCATACAATAGTTAAATAAATAAAAGAAAAATATATAAACAACAGAATACAATTTTTCTACAATTTTACTACAAATTCGTAAATATAATGTATATCATGTCTTCTTCTTCTTCTTCTTCTTCTTCTTCTTCTTCGAGTTTCAATCTGAAATTCAGCCAAAACCAAGTTTAATCTTCACCAAAACCCCTCAAAATTGAGATTAAACTCCAAACCACATTCCCAATTGTTTGCAACAACACCCAATCCAAACAAATAATGATTTTTGAAAACCCAAATTCGAATTCAAAGCTTCAAAGCTTTTTAATGGCTGTCAATGGTGGAATTGCTGCTCTCTTTTCCGTTACTTTACATTACTGAAATTAGGGATTGAGAGATAGAGAGAGACGTAGAGAGAATTCCCAATTCTTTGCAACAACAACATCCAATTCAAACAAATAATATTTTTTGAAAACCCAAATTCGAATTCAAAGCTTCAAAACTTTTTAATGGTTGTCAATGGTGGAATCGTGGATGGGTGCAAGATACGTGGGGGAGGGGGTGGGATGTAGAGAGAGAAACGTGGGGAGTGGAAGATACGTTAGAGTAATTTTAGGACACTCATTATTATCATTAATTCCCTTAAAATGTACATAATTGGTAATTGGGTATATAAAATGTAATTATAGTAAAACTTGAGTAGGGAGGGTAATATAGTTTCATATAGTGTATAGGAATGTAAAAATTCCTTTTTTTTCCTGTCCGAAACCTTGATGACATTTACTAGGTTATATGACTCACTCTTCTTTTTTTCTTCCTTTCATAATTTTGTAGATATAAATCTGAATACCAACAGAGTACATGGCTAGAGCCGTCAATATGGGCTTGGCCCGTTGGGCCAGCCTAGCTTAGCCCGTGATTTAGTAGCGCTGGGCTAGAATTTTTGAAGCCCATTTAAAAATGAGGCTTTTAAGTCCGGCCCGAGTAAGCTCGTGGTCTGTGAGGCTTGACTGGGGCTGGGCTGGGCTGGGCTGGGCCGGCCCGTGGGCCTAATAAAAATATGTATTTAAAATATATAAATTATAAAAATTATACGACACAAAAAATATCAAAAAGAGTATTCCAAGCTTAAAGTTTAATAAGCTCATCATATTAAAAGATCAAAGTCTTAAAACGTTAATTAGTTTTAAAATTTACCTATTTTTAATATTTAACTAACTAATATTGCATACAAATTGTAGATGTAGATGAAAGTGAAGATATTAAGACAACTTTCTCACAAGCGGATTCAAATGTGTTTGATGAAGATGATGTGTTGGATATCCCATAAGCGTCATGGACGTTCTCTTGAATAGTTTGTTTTGAGTTTTGACTTTTAGTGAATGAAATATAGTCTTGTCTTTTACTTTTTTAGTGTTTATTGTGGTATATTGGAACAATATAAGTATTAAATTTTGTGAAATTTTTCCAAAAAGATTTTTATAACTTTTAAATATTTATCTTTTTTTAAGTTAGAACTTAAAGAAAAAATATAAAATTATATTTTAAAAAATAATGGGCCGGCCGTAGAGGCCCACAGCCCACATACGGCTGGGGTGGGCTGATCATTATAAGGCCCATCAAAATGATGGGCTAGCCCAACCCAATCCGTTAATTGCTAAAGCCCACGTGAGCTGGACTGGACTAACCCGGCCCTGCCCATATTGATAGCTCTATACACGGCCAAGAATATCTGGACTTGATAACTGTTCCAACGGTAAGCCAACCGCTTTAGTTTGTTGTGGTTGAGTATATCTCTTTAGTGCCTTTTCAGTTTTAATTGGTCGAGTTATTATCATTTGTACTCTTTGTTTAACCTAAACTTTAACTATTAGATAGTCGATTAAATTTGTAAAGTTGGGCCACTAACAATTGAGTCAAACCAATTGAGCAGATCTTTGCTAATGTAAAATAAGAAAATAATGGTAATAACATAAATAAAAGCAATGAAATAACGATAAAAAGAAGTGAAAGAGATTCTTATTGAATATTCTTTGTTGAACTTCAAGTGTTGAACAACAGAAAGTAGCACCAAATAGTAATGATCTTAATATATTTTTGAGTAGCAAGAGAACCAAAAGTTGGATGCAATAGTGGGGGAAGTGGGTCTATGTCACGATCCAAAATCCAACTAGTCGTGATGACATCTAAGCCAGCCAGCTAGGTAAGCCAATTAACAATAAATCACAATATAATGATAATGGTAAGAGTCAAAAAGGAAATATCTAAATTTTATACAACTCCCCAAGGACTGGTAGTACAAATCATGAGCTTCTAAGATTTAGAGTTTACAAAGCTGGTATGAAATAAATACATCATCTGTCTGAAATACACTTGAACAGACTAATAATTCTAAAGCTACCAAGAACAAGAGGCAGCTATGACCGGAACATAAGTACATCTTCAATTCCAGCTCCCGCCACACACAGCAACATCAACATCCAAAATCTGCACGCAAGGTACAGAAGTGTAGCATGAGTATAACCGACCCCATTTACTCGATAAGTAACAAACCTAACCTTAGGTTGAAAGCAATGACGAGCTCGGACAAGAGTCCAACACCAATAGTCAATACCAACTAATAATAATATGATAAAAGTAGTACAAGAAACAACTCAAAGATATGATGCTCAACTCGTTCACAGTTACGAAAAAATAAGTATGCTTTTCAAGTATAATAGTAAAACTCAAATCTTTCACCGAAATCACCAAAATATAAGTAAGTCAGAAATCTGTGATTTTCCCAAAACCTTTCAACAACAGATAAGATGTTTCAATCTAAGGTAGCATGAGGAGAGTACATCTCTATGCCTACATGTTAAGGTGCATGTGAAGTCATAAATGTCACAAAACCGTGTAACATGAGGAAACTCATCTCTATTCCTGCATGTCAAGTGTGCATGTCAAATGCAATGCATCACAATGATGAACTCATGTACTTACACTCTCAGAGTACTCAATATCACTGTCTCACACTCCTACTCATCACGCTCAATCACTCAGCACACTCAGTCACTCAGCACTGTACGATACTTGTTGCGGCGTGCAGCCTGATCCCATCATGAATCAATAAATATTGCGCTCACTGCTGGTATGTTAGATTCCAGAGGAGCGGATCCTGCCCAAGCGCTAAGATAAGCCATCATGGCCTAATACGACGTGTAGCCCGATCCCATCAATAATATATATATAAAGACCATAGGGCCTGCTGCGGCGTGCAACCCGATCCATAAAATAATAATACATATAAAGCCAATGTGGCCTGCTGCGACGTGCAACCCGATCTTATCAATAATATATATAAAGGCCATAGGGCCTGCTGCGGCGTGCAGCCCGATCCCTTCAATATCACTCACAATCCGGCCCTTAGGCCCCAACTCAGTCATCAATCTCTCCAATCTCTCTGGCTCACAAATCTCATGCCAATCAGCGCAACAATGATATCATGATGTGACAACAAATGATAATAGAGACCGAGGTATGATATGCAAATGAATAAATATGAATGAGTATGTAATTGCATCTAAGCAAAGAACTCAACAACAAAAATGACCTCAGTGGGTTCTAACAGGATAAGCATATAGCCTAAACATGGTTTCTAACATGGATCACAGCTCAATTACGCTAGCATGTAGAAATTTTATGGATACAAATAAGATTAGGTCACTACGCAATATCATAGAGTCAACCGAGTCATAATTCACACGACGCACACCCACATGCCCGTCACCTAGCATGTGCGTCACCTCAACACCAAATACATTACACGTATATTCGGGGGTTCATTCCCTCAACACCAAGTTTATAAGTGTTGCTTACTTCGAACAAGTCGAATCCAATACCGAGCAAGCCAAACAATACTTTAGAAATGCCATACCGCGCGTACCGACCTCCAAACGACTTGAAACTAGGCAAAAGCAACTCAAGAATATCAAATAATGCCAAAGGAAATAAACTCAATCAATAAAGGTCAAATCTTCAATCAAAAATGCAAAGTCAATCAAAAAGTCAAATCGGGACCCACACCTCGGAACCCGGCAAAACTCAAAAAATCCGACAACCCATTCAGTTACAAATCCAACCATACTAGGTTCACTCAAATCCGATTAGAATCAATGTTCAAAACTCAAAAATTCACTTCATGAAATTTTAAACAAAAAAACCTTCAATTTCTCTCTTGAAATCACCAATCAAATGCCAAAACGAAGATAGATTCATGAAATATAATCAAAACCGAGTAGAGAACACTTACCCAATTCATATGGTGAAAATCACCTAAAAAGCGTCTCAATCTGAGCTCCATAGCTCCAAATATGCTAAAATGGCCGAAACCTCAGAAATAGAGTTCTTATAATTCAGTGAACAGACATACCCTTCGCTAATGTGGGACATCCTTTGTGATCGCGAAGAACAAATTCCACTGCCTCCAAAAATACTCTACGCCTTCGCGGAATAGGCCTCGCGA